CGTGTGCGTGTGTGTGCGTGTCTGTAAAGTTATTAAAAGCATTCAAAGCATTTCGGCAGCTGGCGCCGGGGTTTTCAGCCAGGGGCAGGGCAGGGGGCGTGTCATTTACATAACTATGGCTAAACAAACACGAAATGCCGCCTGCCCGGACACGAATAGCAAACCCAACCAACAGCTACCCGCTATCCAAGCAATAGAGAGGTGTTTTTGGGACTGCCCAAAAATGTTCTACAAAATAACACAACCGCAACAAATTATCAATAAACAGCTGAAACAACAAATGTGCCAATTGTTGTTGTTGTTGTTGCTGTTGTTGCTGTTGTTGCTGTTGTTGTTGAGCGGAAACAGCAAACAAAAGTTATTCGAGCAAATCGTACAGCTCATTGTCATAGATGACACGGCACAATAAGTTGATATAAATGATTATTTTATGCTCGAATATGGACTGTAAGCTGCCGATTAAACTTGTCACAAGCAGAGCCCAGGCAATAAGACCCAACGCTCAGAAAATTGTCAAAATACAAGAAACAATTGATAAACTTAGCGCAGCTGCAGATTAAATGCCCAAAACGCGCCAAGAGAACCCAAGAAAACAAGTAGCAGTCCGACATAAAAATTCAGTTTCATTAAGTCAGCAGATTTTGGCGAATTGTGTCGAATTCATATATTCGCACATTTTGATACCCTTTTCAAGTGATTTTAATGCATGTGGACCGTTAAATTACGCGCAAATAATGGCAAATGAGAAGAAATTAAATGCGAAATAAAATTGCGAGCACAGATTGAAGCTGGCTCCGTTGACCTTTTGTTGGGCGCAACTTTTGCCATTTCAAGGTAGTCACATAAAATTGCATATTTATGGCAGCATCAATGTGGCATGTGGGATGCGCTGTATGTGGCATTATTGGTGTCAGTCTGTTGCCCTTGGTTGCTTGCCGGCCCCAACCCTCTTGGCCGCCTGTGGCAGAGGAGCGCAGCTTTCATTTGATTTGCATGTGCGGTCGCGCCGCACCCGAAGTGTAGGCAAACAACGTGAATGTTTATGTACTCTACATGTTGCCACAATTCAGTCGAGTTGCTGCCATTGCGAAGCTATCAAAACATGTGCTACACGCCGCATCGTCTCGAGTGTGGCAGGGGCAACAGCATGTTGCCACAGCAATGTGCGCGGTGGGGCACAACAGCAGCCAACGTTGGCCAACTTGTTGCCGAGTTCAGTTGCTGCTGCTGCTGCACTCTTGTGGCAACGTTTGCCATTGCTTTATGGCCTTTACCCCCTCCGACTTACCCCGCACCAACCAACGCAGCTACAAGCCAACACAAACTCTTCGCCTAACCAATTGTATGTGGCATGTGGTGCGTATGAGCGGGGCCAACATGAATGTTATTTCATTTACTCAAATGTTGTTGTACCCTATTCACAAACTCTAATGGGGTATATTGCTGGTGTACAAGACAACAACTGGAATTTAGACGCTCACCAGCAGGCGCAACTCCCAATGCAGCTGTATTGGGTCTAAGCTCACTAGGTCCAGGTTAAGCTCAGGGTTTGGAAGCCACTGCCTTGGACTTACAGTTGGAGAGTCATTAGCCTAAATAACACTTGCTTTCACAAACACACATTTTTCAGGTATAGCCTTGGACTTTGGTATGCACAATTGGATGTCATATTTATGCACTGAAAATTTTATAAAGCTTGCAAGTTAAACACCGAAGTTAATCAAGAATGCATTTCTCACAGTGTGGGACTGAAAGAAGAAGAAGCACGACCGCAGCGTTAACTGCGCAGCAAGCGGCTTGCGTGCTAATGTGTGCGTGTGTGTGTGTGTGCGTGCGTGTGTTTGTGTGTGTGTCTCCTCTTGTTTAGCATAAGCTTGAGTTCAGGGTATTTGCTGGTCGAGCACTCCCCACCAGAGCAATCTTAGTTATTTTTTTTTATAGTGTTTTTTGCGGCTAACGGCTTTTGTGAGAGCTGATGAATTGGTTTTGCGGTCTTCCAGTCAAATGCACTTGGCTCGAGTTTGGTTTTCATTTGAAAGCCACCTTTTTTTTTTATAATATTATTTTGTGTTTATATTCATTTGATTTAAAGCTTAAAAGCAAAACCCCAACACACACGCACACACACACACACACACAAACGAATTCATTAAGTTGCCCAGTTTACCAAACTAATTTCGTGCCATGTTTCAAATTCAAATGTCTTTTGTGTGGCTTTTCGGACGCCCTTTAAAACAGTAAACCGTCAACCGCCACCCGCCACCCGCCACCCCGCTACCCCGCTACCCGCTGACCGAACAGCTCCCAAGCACACAGCTGATGTACAAATTAGAGCACACAAATGTGTCCCAAGTGCGTGTGCCCTCTAGCTGGATGAGCGCGCTGCGACAGCGTGCTGCTCCTGCTGCTGCTGCTGCTGATGATGATGATGATAATGGCTGGTTCTTGTTTCTGCTGGGCAAAAAAAAAAAAAAAAAAAAACAACACGGCACATTTGTAATTTGTTGGGCAGCACAATGAAGTCTACGTTTTGGTTATGGCGCCTGCATAAAGCACGTCGCACATCGCACAACGCATTTATCCGTCGGCTTGTAAGCGATGCGCGTGTTGTGCGCTGCCCCGTCGCCTGCATAATTTATGCGAAATCAGCGACGAAGGCAGCGCAGTCCACCACACCAGAGCAGCAGCCCACCACACCACACCGCCAACCCACCAAACCAACGGCAATCCACCAACAGCTGCCAGCGGCGGCGCCTGCACGTAAAATGCTTTATCCGCGTTTCATTGTCGCGCGACAAAAAAAAAAAAAAAAAAGAAGCGGCAGGCAACAAATTTACAAATTTGCTGCGCAGCTAAAAAATATTAACGCTTGGATTTCATACCTGCCACGAGCAAGAAGAAGAAGAAGAAGGAGAAGAAGCAGCGACAACTGTAGCTCAACACACGACAGCCAGACAGTCGCCTGGCATGTCTTCCATCTTTGAAAAACTTTGTCTTCAGTCATACGAAGTTGTTCCACTTTATGCCTCTCTCCCCGCCCCCTCTCCACCGGCCCCTCACCAACAACCCATACACACCACTACTTTTGCTGTGCTTGCGGGTCTTAAGGATAATCACCTTGAAAACAGAACAGACTTTAAGCAGATAGAGAGAGAGAGAGAGAGGGAGAGAGAGGGAGAGAGAGTGCGAGAGCAAACGTTGTTTTTATCGCACTTCTTTCTTTTACTTTCGTGCTGCTGCATGCGCCTTTTTGTCCACACTTTGCCGCTGTGTTTATTTTTGCATAATTTTCTTTTATCCTAAGTCCAATGTATTTTTCATATTCTGCTTACCTGGCCTGGCCTGGTCTGCTCCTAATCCTGCTCCCCCTTCCGATTCAGCTGCTGCTTCTTGTTTTGGTGTCGCATTTTGAAATTGTCGTCTCAACAAATTTGTTTACCTGGCCGCGTGTGCGTGCACATAACGGCACATTGGCAAGTTTCTAAGGATTACACACAGAGAAAGAGCAACAGAGATAGAGTGAGTGGGTACGAGAGAGAGAGAGAGCGAGTGTAAGTTTCTATTTGATATCTTGCTCATTATACAAAAGTTGCGTGTATATAGAAAACAACGAAAACATTTCATTCAACTTTTTGGGCCCAAATTCAATGAGGCCAAGTTAGCGCCCCTAAATGCTTTTTCCATAAAAGCAAAAACTACAACAACAACAACAACGGGCCCAAAACAAATGAAACGGGGAAAACCGTTTGTAGCAAATTATATTAATGCTATAAAAAAAAAAAACGAAAAGCGAATCTTTTTACAAACTCGTTTCGTTTCGGCTCTTATGATTATTTTCTTTTTGGTTTTACCCACAGGCCGCTTTAATGTTTACTTTACTTTATTTCTTGCAGTCCGTTTGTTGTTTGTTACTTTTACAGGGCGCAAGCCAAATGAGTTTGTCTGCCCCAGCAAGAGGCAGCAACAACAAAGTTAAAAACTAACTTGCTGCCGTCCAGCACGGTCGGTCCTAAATGTGTTACGAAAATATCAAACGTAATGAGGGTCAAGCAATGTTTGGGCTTTGGTTTGGTTTACTTTATTTTTGCTTTGGGGCGGCAGACCAAAAGGTTCCTGCTTGACCAGCTGCGGCTGCTTGTTTGCCGAAGGGCAACAGAAAGTGGCCACAAAACAAAACATAGATTTTATGCACAACACTGCACATTTGAACTTTTCAAGTCAAAGTCTTAACGAGCAGAACATTTCTGCTAGACATTTTGCACTTTATGATGAGCTTAAAAAAATTTTTAAAAAAATATTGGCGCTCTTTTTATCGAAATGGTGCGATATGTTCGATAACGCAAACGCAAAATGAGTCGAAAGCGCGCAAAATGCGCAACGTAACGAGAAAATAAAAAAAAACGTAAGGTTAGCTTAGCGCTATAAACAGACGCGCTAAGTTGGCTGCACGCAATCGTCTACTCACCTCAAGTTGTGCCCGCTCGTGTGCGGCTTTCTTGGAATTTTTACCATATACCGCTCGCGGTCGCACTGAAGCTGACAGAAACAGATGTAAACAATTCGAGTGAATGCCCAAGACCATATTGCATGTGATCTTCACAATTTATAATGTTTCACTACACACTGCCCTGTGGTGGATTTAATACACGAACGAAACTCACTGAAACGGGAATTAACTTCGATCCGCCGGTGTACGAGCAGCGATATTGTGCTACAATCCAAATATTAGAGGATGCGCGCTGGGTACACGAAATCAAAAAGGTCACTGAATTCGGGTGCGTATTATATTGTTCACTTTAGTTTTTCTAATTACATTTAGCACGGTTTTTTTTATCTGTTCTTTTCTTCAGCTGTGCTGAGATGCGACTCTTCCAGTTAATGCGACGCATCGAAACTATCGAACATATTCTGCAGGTTTGTAATGCGATTAAGAGCGCCATTTCCCTATAAATGAGTTATTACTTGTTACGTGGTCAATATGGGGAAATTAAACAGTTAGCTTATATAGGTAATCGTTAATGACATACAGTTTCTAGTTATTTTATTTATATACGCAGTTTATAGCCTAGCTTAAACTTAATAATTATGTTTTATGCAATAATAACCTTCATCTAGTTAAATACTTTTTTTTCCTTTTTTTTTTTTTTCTTTTGAGGGGATATTATCATTTATGTAATATAATCGATTCGGGTGCGACTTAAAGCGAGCGTAACTTAAAAACTTTCAAATAAAATTAAAATTAAACAATAATTTGCTATCAAGGCCAATTTATAACCTAACGGTGCACCTGTCTCAGTGCCTACACATTCATCTCTCCTATATATATGTATATATATGTCTGCATGTACGTACTGTAACAATTTCTGCTGAATATGTCCTTAAAAATGTTGTATAAAATGAAAGAACGATAGAAATGACACAAAATTCTGTGCTTTTTCACTTTTTTTAAGTGTGCTGCAACAACTTTATGAACAGACATTGATCCAATGAAGGCGTAACCTTTCTAAATTCACCTCGCGCTCTCTCTCTCTCTCTCTCTCTCTTGGTGTCTCTCTTTCACTTAGGCTATAGTTTACTTCTAAAAAATACTTGAAAACGCAGCAGAACTGTTATTTGTATTTACTGTTAATTCATGTAGTTTTGCCAGGCTTCACTAATTTGTTGCCATTTAGCAGCAGCTATTAATTATTTGTTTTGTTTTGTTGTGTAAGGTAGGGGAGGGGTGGGGAGGGCAGGATATTGGGATAACTAACTATCGTATCACTTGCGGCAATGCCTGGACGAGTTGACATTGCGCCCCTTGCCGTAGCTGTTCTCATCATCGTATTGCCACACGCTGTACACATTCTGCATATTTGTGGCATAGTTGTTCTCCACATCCTGCTGCCGCTCGCCGTGCATGTGTGCTTCAGTCTTATATAGACAGCGACGGGTGCGCCGCTGTTTGGTTGGATCCTGATCCACTGATCGACTGGACTTTAGCTTGTTGTTATTGTTATTGTTGTTGTTGTTGTTGTTGTTGTGGTGATGATGATGATGATGATGATGTTGCTCCAATTCGCCGGTGGCGGACGCCATTGTCGCGTTCTCCTTGCGAGCGGCACAGCCACGTTTATTACCCCCAACTGTTGTTAACGGTGTAACAATCATCCTGTGATCCTGCTGCTCCTGCTCCTCCTGCTGCTGCTGCTGCTGCTGCTGACTATCTCCATTTGTGTTTCTCAATTTGCCGGTTCGCTTGCGCGTCGCGCCTTTGCCCTTACCCAGCTGCTGTTGCTGTTGTTGAGCTTGCTGCACCTGAATCAGTTTACTGTTGTTGCGCGGACGCCCACGGCCCCGACGCACTGTCTCCGACTGTGTCGTGCCTTCACTTTCGTCGCTCTGCTGATAATCCATCTAAGCATGATTTAAAGACATTCATGAATGAGTTATCTGGATGTTATATATATATATAAAGCTTAGCACTCACCTCTTCGTCTTCACTTGTTGCCTCTGGCTCCGCTTTTTCCATGTCAACTTCGTCTTCCTCCTCCTCTTCTTCGTCCTCCTCCTCCTCCTCCTCCTCCTCCTCTTCTTCCTCCTCCTCCTGGTCCTCCTCTTCATCCTCCTCCTCCTCTTCCTCATAATCCTCATCGTTATCTTCCGCCGCCTCGTATTTGTCCGTTTCACTTGCCTCTTCGTTGTTGTGCTCCTGCACGCTCAGCCCCTTGTCCCGTCTGCTCTGCTCCACAGCCAATATCGCATAGGTCGGCCTGCCCTCGTACCGCCTGGGCAGACGCGACTGCAACGGGCAGATGACCTCCTCACGCTCAAACTCTTTGACGGCACGTTCGCGTGCTATTTGATCGGGATCCTGTGACAGCACTTCCGCCCACGAGAATTTCTTCTTCTTGGCATTCTTTTTGTTGGACTTGGAACGCAGATTCTTGGGCGAGACACGATTCGTTAGCGAATGCTCCTGGAATGGTGTGCTGAGCGTCGCGGAGCGCATCACATTGCATGCAATTTTATTATTCAGCTCGAATATGTCGCACTTGGCGCCGCCATCGAGCTCATCCTTGATGCAGGAGACACGTGTGCGCAAGATCTCATCGCTGCTCAACTGCATCTGGCTGCAGTCGTAGCCGAGGCGGCGATACTCGCGCTTGAAGATGCTGCGATAGCGCTCATAATTGGGCCGCTCCTGATATGCGAGCTGTCCGATCTGCTGCAGAAATTCACCCAAATATTTAGGAACCTGTTTGCCATAGAACTGTCGCAGCATTTCGCACACATCGGTCATGAACAGCTCCTTGGCGCGATGCACCTTCTCTTGCTGCTGCTGCTGGGCCACATCTTTCCACGGCAGATAACCCTCCGACCAGTACAGCAAATTGTAGCCCAAGCACTCCAAATCGCTGCGACGCGAATGCGCGCCCAAGTGTGCATCGCGCGAGGTGAACTCCAGTGTGCCATCGTGCGCTCGTCGCTGATCCATGATAAAGGGCCTGTGCACGCCGCGATCCTGATACTTGGAGGCCAGACCAAAGTCAATCAAGAATATGTGCTCCTCCTCCACCTGCACCAGCTGATACTGTGTCGCGGCACGCTTACTTCGTGACATGGCTTTGGGTACGGGTTCGGAGACATTAGATTTTAGATGCTGCTGCTGCTGCTGTTGCTTTGACTCCTGGCGGCGGGTGACGGCGCGAGTGGAGGAGCGTGAGATGCGCTGTTTGGCTGCACTGGCACCGCCCGAACGCCTGGCACACGGCGGCACAAACTCATCGGACTCATTGTCCGAACTTTCCGGCGACTGTTCGCTGTTGGCATCCGCTTTCACCGGATAGCCATCCTCGTTGAAGAGCTCCGAGTAGCTAACCCGCTTGGCCGGTCGCAGATAATGTGACTTGACCATCTCCTCGTACATGGAGCTGGAGTTGCGTCTATCGTTGCGGCGACACGAACGCATCGGATTCGAGCCGCTAAACTCGACGGGAGCATTGCGTGCGCGTCGCTTATTTTTGTTGCTCACTGGCGTCTGGTACAGGTCCAGGCTGTTGCTATTGTTGCTATTTGTTGTGGCACCATCGTCAAAGTCCTCGTCCTCGTCCTCATCCTCGTCCTCGGCATCGAGGTCCTCTTTGATGGGCGCAATGTGCTTTAGCGCAAATTTGTCGTTCTTCGCGAAGTAGTCATCGTCGTTGGTCTCCTGCTCGGAACTGTTGCCGCTATCCGTCGTCTGCTGCTTCTCCTCGTAGTGCTCGTCGTAGCTCTTACTCTTGCCGCCGCCCTGCTGCACCGGCTGCCGCTTGAGGTACTTGCACTTGGATATCATCAGGTTCTGCGCCTTGATATCGTTGTGGCAATAGCCCTTGTCATGCAGATGCTCCAGCACATTGATAATGTTTATGGCCAGCACCAGCAGAGATTTTTGCGCCACACGCGCATTCTTGATCAACGAATGCAGATCCCGATCAAAGCGCGGCAGCACCAGAAACCGATAGCGCCCATCCCCGAAGTAGTGTGTGCCCGAGGCTATGTAGCTCGGAATGCCTGTGGGCGGACCCTGGCTAATTGTTGGCGGCAACTGCGCCAGGCTGCACGCCTCGCTGCCATTCGTAATCTCTGCAAGAAATCGTTGGGATTAGCCAGGATTTAAGTGAATATCTGTGTGTTTTGTGCTACTTACGCTGCGTCTGATTGGTATTGATGAGACAATGTATCTCCACGAAGAGCGGCCCATTCGAGTGTGGCTCGATTTTGACCACATATTTGGCGCTCTCCGAGCTAACCGGGCAAACAGTGTCATCCGAGGCAAGAAATATCTCGCCAAAGTTGCCCTTGCCTGCAGGGAATTGTTATCAAGATTACAACATATATATTAATGTATATATACATGTATAGCTAGTTGGTAGACATACCTATGGGTCGTCCCAGTCGCCAGGCCTTGGAGAGCACATCCCTTAGGATGGTGCCATTGACTACGGACGGGCGTAGTGTGTAAACCGGGCGCGGTGATTCGGTTGCATTGGAATTGTTGTGATCGCTGAAGCCGCCGCTGGCAAATGTGGCCAGGGATAGCAATGATGCACGCGAGTTGACCGGACACTGGCCACGTGGTGCTCCTGTCGGCGCTGGCTGCGGCTGCGGCTGTGGTGTTTGCAATAGAGCTACGTTCGCCGAGCCGGATGATGAGGAGTCCTCGTCATCGTTTTCGTGCCAATCAAAATTGTTATTGTCAGCGCTCAGGCGCTGGCACTTCTCCACCCGGGAGGCTTTAACAGCTGGACGCTTGCGTTTCCGTGCTTGTGTTTTATTCGTTTCCGTTTGTTGCTGGCGCTCCGAAGCGATGCGTTTGCCCATGTTTAGCAGGCGGCACTCGATTGGAAAAACGCTCCAACTTTCAAATTTCCAATGCCCAGTGGATCGGATCAGATCGGATCGGGTCGGGTTGGTCAGTTGACAGTTGTCAGTCTCAAGTTAACGCAGAGCGCATAAAGGAACGTTGAATTTCAAATTCTTGCGAGTTGTTTCTGTTTGTTTTTGTCTGTATTCCCTTTTGTCTGTTTATACCACGCTTTCTTTACTGTTGACATTCGTGGTGGCTGTGTGGCAAGAAGAAGAATGGCGCTGATGAGTTTATTTTCAGCTATGATTTATTTAAACTGCTTACGCCTAAACAAATGCCAAAAAAAAAAATCAAACAAAACACACGCGCACACACACACACATACGCAGTAAAATCCTATTGTAACTGCTGCTGATTAATTTAGCATTTTTTTTTTGTTGTTTCTTTTACATTTTTTTGTTTTGCCACCACTAATTCAGGTTTCACGCTCTATTGTTTTGAATTTCGTCGTTGCGCCGGCACAATGTGAATGGAACGCTGTCGGCTAAGGCGGAATGGCAAAATTATGGGCACGGGGCACATGCATACATACATATGTATATGCGTGCATGCATACGCACGCACACCAACAGCGCTCGCCTTGGTATTGGTCACAATTATGCACACACAACAAAACAAATAATTTAACAAATCTCTGATAATTCCCCGACAATTAATCACTATTGCTAAAACTGCAAAATATAATATATACGCATGTGCTTATACACACATATATATAAATGCGAATTTTACACTCGGCACTCGGTGAAAAACACACACAAGAAATCTTGTCTGACACGAACGAACAGCCATAGAGGACGGGGACCGTGGCTTCCTGCTGCATGGAAGAATATTGATTTAGCTGCAGCGCCGGCACAGGCCACAACAGTTGCCTTGAAGCATTTTATTTAAATATATTGGCGCTGCAGGCACAACTATTTGATTTAGCTGCACAATTTCTATGCCGTTTGGCTATTCGTTTGGTTAATTTCATTTGTCACTTTTCTGTATGTATTTCTTTCACGTATTACAAGTTTTCTTCTTCTTGTTTTCACGTTGTCTTTTCCCTCGAATGCAGTACAAGAAAAAATTTCACTCAGCACGCTTTGCTGGCATACAGTTGTTGCTTACACAGTTGCGTTTGTCTGTTTAGTTACACATTTTCACTATATTTTGCAATTGAATCTATTTATTTCGATACTCAATTGATTTTCACAACAAATTACATATTCTTCGTGCACTGCTGCCCGTGCTCGGAACACTCACACACACACGCGCATTCAATGTGACAAGCCAATGTTTCGTTGCCATGTTGTTGCGCCATTTTGTTTCGTTTCTGGTTGTGTACAGTGCTGCCAGACTGTTCAAATTGCACTTGTGTTGTGAAACGAGCTGGCATTAAAACCGGCTGTTAATATTTGAATTTTCATTTAAATTTTTATCGTTATCAATCACAGGTGGACATTGACCATAATCTCTTAAAAGGGAATTTAGGTCGTACAAACCCACTTGTTTGCGACTTTCTCAGACAACGCCTCGGTCCATTGCGTGTTGAGGTGCTGCATGGCAGCGTGGCGGACTCGGCTGATGAATTAAGGGACACAGATGCCGTCGTCGCATTGGAACTGTAAGTTATCTGACTGGCATAATATTCACTACTACTATTATTATTAATAATATATTTCTTTTGCAGCATAGAGCACGTTTATGACGATGTGCTGGCCAAGATTCCTGCTAATATCTTTGGCTTTATGCAACCCAAAATTGTAATATTCAGCACACCCAATTCGGACTTTAATATAATATTCACACGCTTCAATCCGCTGCTGCCCAATGGCTTTCGCCACTTGGATCACAAGTTTGAATGGACACGCGAGGAGTTCAAAGCCTGGTGCCTGGGCATCACCGAAAAGTATCCCAATTACATGTTCTCCTTGTTGGGCGTCGGTGAGCCGCCGCCAGGCGACGAATCCGTGGGTTATGTATCCCAAATAGCCCTGTTTGTGCGAAAGGATTTGCTGGGCATGCCACTGCCGGAGCCACTTAAAGTCCAGCCCATCCCAGACAGTCGAGGAGCAGGCTATCAACGCCTGCATCTCGTTGATTTTCCCTTCAACAAGGACATTCGCACACAAGAGGAGAAAATCTGGTCGGAGATCGAAATCCAACTTTATCGCTGCACAAAAGACGAGGATTATTATGATTATGACAAACGCACGTACAAAATGTCCATTGTCGAGCTGCTTAACAGGCTTCAGTATTTGGGCGCTACGCGACAAATATTGGATCAATTATTGGAGCAGCATCAAAAGCCAATCGAAAATGGTTTCGTGCTCATCGAGGAGGAGGTGGAGGAGCACGAGCAGGATCTGTACGAGGAGCACGAGCAAATGGCGCCAGTCTCCAGCGCAGACGAGGAAAACTGGGATACCTAACTATATGAGAATAATAATAATAATAATATAGTAATAAATGCTGCAGCGGCACATAAATCAAATGTTCATACACTCTCTGCTGGGGGAGGATTTGTTTGTCAACTTTTCAATTTGCCCTAACGCCAGCCCCTGCCACCCCAACCCGATGCTGACCCAGCAACCACCCGGACGAGATGTTAAAGCGTTTGATGCTTGGCTTGAATATCTTCTTTTTTTTTGGGGGGGTGGCCGCCAAGATGACGAGACGCCGGCATCCGTCTAGCTGGCACCCGCACGGAAATTGCAATTGTTTGCAAAATGAGGGTGGCAATCAGTCGAGCAGCGGACTTGGCGCAAACGCAGCACAACAAACACAACACACAACACACAAACACACACACACACACACCGAGGCACAGAGCCCATTAATACCCTGCCGTGACTCTGCTTTTGCGGTTGCCTGGCCCGAGCAAAGTTAATGGAGTCGGCGTCAGAGTCGTCAGTTGCAAGTGAATCGCGCTCCTGGCAGGCAACACAAATTTGCCATAGCAGCTGTCCCGCAGCCCGCTTCGACTACCTAGTTCCCTCACCCCCCTTCCGCACGTGGTGCCTGTGACAATAACAAAAACAACAACAATTCAGATTCATTCTCATGCCAGCCATCAATCCTACCTGGACTAATATCTAACTTGAATTCTATGTCACATGTAAATCGGAATTTAACTCAATTTTTATAACATTACCAGTTACTAGCTCGCGTGTCTATGTGTGTGTTTGTGTGTGTGTGCGGGGTTTATCGCGTGTCCTTTATATAGCTTCGCCGTATTTAGGCAACGGAAACGTCGCACGTTCAGTTCCGTGCACTGAACATAGCCTGGTAACTTGGTAAGACTTGCTGCACCCAGCTGCCCGACATGGCCGATGATGAGGGCGGCAAGGAGGGCGACAAGAAAATCGTGCACACCTATCCGCTGGTCAAGGTTGGTGCCAGCAATCTTTAGCATTAAGTAAACGCCGTATTACTCTATAATCGTAATTACTCAAAACAGCACACGGACATGAAGGAGGAGATGCGCCAGGAGGTCATCGACTTGAGCGTCAGTGTGTGCGAGAAATACTCTTCAAATTATGAGGTAAGTTGGGTAACTAAATGGAAAACTAGCTAACTAAGTGGAAAACAGTTTGGCTCAGCGCTCTCGTGTGATAAGAGCGATATATTACAATAGTGATCCGATCCTAACTTTGATCTATTTGAACATAAGCAAACAATTGGAGAATATATATATATCATCTCTATGATCTTCTAATTTGGTGACCTACTTTTCCGTCTTAACAAATCAACAGATCTTTTTGTTGTCTTCAAGAATCAAACCCAAAAATCTGCCATAATTAACTTTAAATATTTGCCACAGCTAGCTGCCAAAACGATTAAGGAGACAATGGACAAGAAATTCGGCATCTATTGGCATGTTGTTGTCGGCGAGGGTTTTGGCTTTGAGGTATCCTATGAGACTGAGAATATACTCTATCTATTCTTTGCCGGCAACTTGGCCGTTGTGCTGTGGAAATGCTCCTGAAGCGGCGCCAACGAACAAACAGCTAACAGACGTACCTAGAAACCGAAAACGAAACTAAAAGAATATATAAAAATTTTTGTATTACCTATACAACATATATATATATATATCTATATAGCATGTAGTTAATGTTATGTATTAAGTTGCGCCATGTAAAAAGAGAAATAAAAAGAAAAACTGAAATCGAAATGTGGAAAAGTTGTGTGTTCTTTGCCATGGCAACTGCTGTTTAGTCCACACAAAAACAAAAACAAAAAAAAAAGGAAAAAGGAAACTTGGTTAATGTGGAAATTAATTGAAGGCTTTTCTTTTAGTAGGACACACTCACATACAGATTTATAAAAAATTGTTTTGTACGCACTTAACATCTCGCCTTGATGCAGAAATTTTACAGGTTTTTTTTTTAGGCATAAACATCCTCACGATCGGCGCCGGCGCCATCGCCGCCATCCTCGAGGTTCGAGAAGAGCAGAAAATGCGATGTGCGATGCAGTTCGTGATAGAATTCCTTTGGATTGGCCAATTGCAGTTCGTATTTCATGTTCGGATCGTGTCGCACGCCCATAAAATTATAATTCCAACTGCTTTGCGCCGGCACCATGAAGAAACCAAGGAACTTGTTGGACAACAGCATTTGGACGCGTTCATAATGGGAGGGCAGATAGCCCTTGGGATTGTTGCCTTTGTCCGTATTCTTGGAGCCCCACTCAAAGCCGGAGGGCGTCAATTTGTAGGCAGTCAACGAGCAGGAGCCGGGCGTAAAGGAACAGGTGATGACAATTGTCTTTTCGCCATCCCAATTGGAGTTCTCCTGCATGATCTTGGCATGCGTGGTTATATCCTGCGGCGACAGCTGCGGCAACTCATTCGGCTGTGTGTGTATCCAGCCGAGTGGCTCCATATCCTTGAGATATTGATGCGTGGGCAGAGCATTTGGCAAATTGATCGTCTGATGTGTGCCCCACTGCGGCGGCATCACAATGCAACGTATCTCCTTCACCTGCGGATTGTCTGGCGGACTCACGCCATACAAATAGCCAGCGATCTGTGCACGCAGATCGGATATGGTCACGAACTTTTTCAGTATATTCTTGGGCAGAATGTAGGTGTAGCCCGTCTCTTTGATGTCATCGGAGCTAACATAGATGTGATTCGTGCGCAAATGCAGATTCGTTGCGGATATGGCACGCACACGCCATTCGGTCTTCGAGCTGAACGTCTGCGTCTCATAGTTGGACGTCGTCGAGGTGATAATCTCGTCGCCATGTTTGTTTGTTGTTCGCGTTGTTGTCGCCGTCAGTTGATTCTGTTCCTTGGTCTGCTTCTCAATTTCGGCAATTTGTTGACGCTGCGCGGACGGCGCGCTTATCTCCATGCCCAGTATAATGTCGCGGATCTCGGACTGTGTCAGCGAGGCAACATTCACATTGTTCTTTTTGCCATAATCGGCTAAAATGAGATCCTTCAGCTGCACCTCCACCTTGATCCATTCCTCGTCCGTTAACGTTGGCCAAATGTGATGCGCCTCCGTTATGGTCGTCTTGTCCGGCTTGAGTATGATCTTGGTGCGCTCCGTGTTGACGTGCAGGGCGCGCAGGATCAGTATAAGACGACTGAATGCCGTATAGGATGATATGGTCTTTAGCCAGTCGTCATACAGATTGAACAGCACCATTTGAGGTTCGGTGGCCTTTAGGATCAAATCACCAAACTTCTCCACCTTGAGACAGGCCTGGAAGGGCAGCTGCAGCTCCGAGCCCTTGATAACGATATTGGGAAAGTCGAGCAAATGCACCTCAAGCGGATCCAACATGCCCTTGCGCGTGACAATAATCTGCTTGGGCTGCTCCTCGACGGGCAGCGAACGAATGAGCGCTGCAACTTCCTCGGCTGTCTTCCATTTGGCCAATTGACCCAAACGCTTCTGACCCGCCCACACTGAGGTGTGTATAATCTTGAGAAATAGCTGCCCGGTGCGTGGATTAAATATGAAGATGGCTCCGTTAATCGGTTTTGTTGTCAAATTACCCTCAAACGTCTTGTGAATGGTCACGCGATACACATTTGTGTCGTCCACAAACCAAATGATTTGATTCGAGAAAAGTTCACCATAGTTCTGGGAGCTGAGGTACGGTTCCGTTGGCTCTGAGGAGTACAGCTGCAACGCCTTGCGTATACGCTCGCGCAGCACATAAAGCGCCGGATTGGCCTTCATGATCTTGGCCATGGCCTGTTGTATTAGCGTCTTGCAGCCAGGGAACCAATTGCCATAGGCCGAATGCAAAT